ATGCATGTACATATGTGTGTATGTACGTGCATGCACGCTTATACGATTGCATAGCAGCATGCACAAAAAAACCATCAGTTCGTAACATGATCACCAGTACTCAATGACGGGGCCGACACCACAACGATAGATAAATGCATAAATAACCGCAATTAAACAAATGGACAAACACATGTATGTGTGGGTGTGTGGGTGCATTTACGTAATTATGCATGTACGTACGTCGTACGTCACGAAGATGTATATCTATATATATATATACATACATACAGGTATATATACACGCATTCATACATAATACCTACATGCATGCATACATATGTACGTACATACACACATACACACGTACATAATAGGACCGGAGTCAGCTTAGTGCTATGTGCGCCTCTCAAACGATCCAATCCTGGTGATAGAATGCCGCGGGCTGTGTAGGCAGATAGGTTCTACGGGAGAGAAAAGAGAGACGAGAGAGGGAGAGAGCGTGTGCAGCAACAGGACATGTGTAGACACATATGCATATACGTATGAGATATAGACATATGTATATAAACATCGATATACATGCAGATGCAGATATATCTGTGTGTTCAGGTGGCAACGTTTGCCATAGCAGTAGCATCTAAGGCAGGACGTCCTCTCCGAAGAACGGGAACGTCTGGAGTGGTAGTGCGGGCCTCTAACATCTGAACTTGACTAAGATACCTTGGGTCTTTATTAGGTCTTGACATGGATCGTAACATTTTGGGCTTGCTGGACCAGGGTTTCTTAATCAGGTGCCTATACCCGAAAGCAATAGCAAGCTGGAGCAATCCAGTCAACCACACACTGTACCAATCTCCAAACTATATGTACACATATGTACATACATGCACAAACAGATGCGCGTGCTAACGTGTACATATATATATATATATATATAAACACATCTGTTACATTAATTTGGTATACATATATGTATACACACTATCGAAATATGTTTTGCGTATGACAATTCTTGTGCTGCAGAGCCCGTCCTGGCTGCTGAAGGCGCGAGCGATCATCTCAATCTGCCCTCTTGCGATGACATAGTTGAGAAGTGGATGAGCCAAGAAATTGAAGGTCCAGTTGCTCCAAAACCCCTCTTTCGGTGATGCCATTGGAAGCACAGTGCAGATGAGGAATGTAGACAAAGGGATGAGCGCCAGGAAAGCAGAAATGATGGCCAGTGTTTCAAAAAGCCGACGCAGCGTCGACTTACCGTCTTGGCATCGGTCCTGTGGACGGTTTTGAGCTGATGGGGCTGTGGGTTTCGGGTTTAGCCCAGGATTTAGCGCTGATAGACTGATAGGGTCATGGGCTTCGGGTTTAATTAGAGTATGGTTTATATTACTAGTATCCCCATAATAGAACCCAATATATACACTCACCAATATTCAAAAGGAGCCCGATCGACACTCAGCAAAACGGTAATTTTAACCCTACTTCAATTAAGCCTTTTAGGTGGAGGATGGCTCATGGGTCAAGCAGAAATGGGGGGTTGCAAGTTCCAGCGACTCGAACAAATTAAACTCTAGACTAGTGACTACAGTGACTATAGCTTATCTGGACTTTCAAGTAACCAGGGAGAAAAAAGTATAGACTTTCATTTCGTAATGGTTCCTTTTGCTTAAGGAACAGGTACCCCCCAAAAATGTATTCAAGTATGGTACTCCAAACCCACGTTATGGCCTCGCCAGGGCCCCAGTCAACTTATACCTCCGCATCCTTCAACCTCAACTCCGGCATAGGACTGGCCATGGTCCTGTAGGTACCGAGACAGCTGAACTTCGATCTCAGACATCTGGCTCTTCAGCTGCTTTAGTGGCGTCACTGAGTTTGGCGCGATTGAAAAGAGCTGCAAGTCGTTGATCGACTTCCCAAAATGCTGAGCTCCTCCAGAGACGGAGGGAAGCGTAGAAATAGATGTGCTCCACTTCATCTTGAACCTTATGTGTCCAGTTTCTTGGGTGACATTGAAAGCTTACGGCTTTCGACTTTCGATAAGAATAAAACTGCCCGCGAAATCGAGAGTTTCTCACTCGTATGCATAGAAGCTGGCGTAGCCCAAAGCTTCTGTCTCGACCCAGTGGTGCTTCTTCTGCAGCCTCAACATCACCCACGCCAACTCCGTGCGCACGGCCTTAGCAAAATCAAATTCAGGCTAAGGCGGCTAAGGCTGCAGGCCTCAAGCCCTAAACCCTAAACCCCGAAACCCTACGCCCCTAGATCCTAAGCCCCTAAACCCAAAGTCAAGCAGGGGTCTGATGAAAACTCCCTGGTGGGAATGCGGGAATGGATTAGGATGTAGGGTTATAAGCCTTAGGGTGCAGAGTGTAGGGGTTTAAGCTTGAGGGTTTAGGGTTTGGGCCTCGGGGTTTAGGGTTAAAAGCTTTAGGACTTAGGGTTACAGACTCCCCCTGCGCCCGAAACCTTAAAGCCCAAATCCCTGAAACCTAAACCCTAAACCTAAACCTTCAAACCCAAGTCATCCGTGGGGCCTTGGCTTTTGGCCACTGGGGCATCATCGGGGCAGGCACCGGGCAGTTGAATGTCCTCTCGGGAGACAGACTCATCTTCCGATGCGGCTGCTGTGTAATAACGTAGTGGCTACCATCTTGACCCGTGCAGGACATGGCCCCAATAATCAGGACATCGACATTTGTACCAAAAGGCACGCAGCGACCAAAGACAGGGCTAGGGATTCGCAACCATCCAAGCCCAACAGTATCTGACCAACAGAAGTACCACTCCTACAAAAGATCCTTCTTATTGTGAGGACCGCTGAGCAAGCTACGCCGAATCTGAACGCCTGTGAACCGAGGGACTGCCAAACTCAGCCTCCCTGGCCGGTGAACCCTGACCCCTAAACCTGTAAACCAGTACCCTTCGGAACCCGCTTATATATATATATATATAAATCGAAGCTGTTCCTGCCTCGAGCTTCAAGCCGGGCGTGGTCTTTGTGGACTCACTCTGAAAATCGCCCGCCACCATGGCATTTCTAGCCTCTACGCAGTACGTGGCGGCCGGTAAGACTTCAAGTATGAGCACGAAGATGATCAGGCTCTTCAGCTACGATCACCGGTGACTCGTTGCAGCATCTCGAAAGCTTGGACCCCAATACAGAAGCTGCTGAATATCACTATCAAGATTTTTCATATCAGGCCACAGGGACCAGAACAGTTACCTACACATCTGCCTGCAGAACATGGCAGCAGAAGCAGGCTGGGCGCAAAGAAGGAGACCCGGGCACCAAGGCCTTTAAACTCTCCTGCAGCCCTATAAACCCGAAACGCTAGATCCTAAACCCACTTGGAGGACCAGTGGACTTACTGGGAGTAGCTATGTTCAACCCCAAGTGAGGACGCTGACTGAAAGGGTTTAGGGGTGAAGGGTTTGCAGGGATCAAAATTTGGGGTGCATCTACCTACATGTTGCAGGAAGCTCGTAACTCAGTCATACAGACATAGTAGCACAGAGTAGAAGCTAGAACTCGGAACATCGCTATCCTGATGCCCGCATGGCAGACTACAGTGAAGTTGCAGAACTACTCATCTTTGTTTAATGATATACCTATAGTCTCCATTGTAGTTCCTGTCTAGGATTAGCGAATAGGAGCCTAAAGCCTAAAACAGAGTTTGTTAAAGCAATAAAGGAACTACGGTGCAGACAAGAGCTATCATGCTTCGGCTTCCTGGAGCTCCCCGTACATAGGAGAAGCACTAGTACAAGGTGCGGCAAGCCCCGCCCCACCTTCCGTTTAGAAACCCGAACATGCAGCAGAAGACTCTCTGCAGAATGTGTCACTATTCTATCGTTGCTTCAAGCGGGTCTGGGGTTCGTAGAAGCTTCAGGCTAGGCCCGAAATCTGACCACACTTCCCTCGGACGTCTTCGGAGCCTTCTGCGGTGCGGTGGCGCTTAGGCCGCAGCTTAGGGGTTGGAGTCTCGGGCTAGACTGTATGTAAGGGGACAATGCTACGAACTGATTCACCAAAATTAGACCTCAAGTTCACATCATGGTCGGCTGTGCATGGGGGTGAGGATTGACCGTTTTTCATGCCTTGGGGTTGAGAGTTAAAACCTCAACCCTAAACCTTGTAAAAACCGCCAAGCCCCAACAAACCCCAAAGCCCTGGCACACCCTAAAGTTGAGACGCAAGATCCTGGATGTTGTCATGGCAGGTGCCTTACAACTTCTTACAGGGCTCACGAACTCCCGAGACGAAGCAACTTCTTGAAAGAAAGATACCCCTAAGCCCTAATCCACTACCCCGAGCCTGGCAAAGCCTGTCAGCGCCTTAAAGCCTAAACCCCAAAACCCTAAAACCCTAAAACCTAAACCCTAAACCCCAAAACCCCAAAACCCCAAAACCCCTAAACCCTAAACCCCAAAACCCTAAAACCCTGAAATAGGTAGGTCTGTCGGACCACAGGTACACCCTAACCCAGAGCCGAAGCTGGGAGTCTCTGGGGAGACTCTGGGGGCTCCTAAAAATCGGAAAAAATCTGGTAGTTAGGGTCCTTGGAACACTCCCACAGGGGAGTTCCTCCTCCAAGCACCGCGCGAAGAAGAGATTCTTTGGGCTTCAATCGCCTTTCTTTTCTTCAATGGGCTTGAGTTTCAAGTCTAGCGGCCTTGCGCAACCTGGAGCGAAGGCACATCTTGAAAGCTTCATCGGCGATTATTGTACCAAATTATTATATGAGCCATTGGTGTGAAGCTTGAATTTCAGGGGTTCAGGGCTCAAGGGCCGACGTATGCAGGGTAGGCCTGCAACAGCTCAAGGAAACTTCATGGAAACCCCAGGGCAAGCAGCCCCAAGACATGTCCCTCTTGACCTGGAGACCCTCAAACATGCCTTAACTTCAACGCCGAACCCACAGCCCGGAGCCCGAAAGCCCTAAGCCCAAAGCTGTGAAAAGTCTGGGGAATACCGAAGTAACTCCGCTGCCCTGCCCGCACCGATTCAGCCACGCAGCGCTGTTGTTTCTCGGCATCCACGGGCGTCAGCTTGACGCTGCAACCCGTGCAGTCTGCCCCTGTCCACCAGCCAGGCTCGACAGCTCGGTGGGGCTTTTCTGGACTCGACCTCCTGTTGTATTCTTACTACCCCAACAAGCCACAGAAATACAAGGTTGAACTTTCCGATTCCTACTAAACTATAAGAACCCAAAAAGCTTAAAGGTTAGGTATTGGGGATCTAAGTATTACTATACAAACATCTTAGTATTTCATGCCGGTTCCATCCGGCATGATGTTAGCCAAGCAATGAAACAGCTGTTTATCGCCAATTATTGTCTCAATCTCGTTGGCTCCTCCGCGCTTCAGCACAGGCTGGAGATTGAGGAATGCCTAATGCTTAGGGTCTGCAATTATTGGAACAAGGCCTTGGTGTCGAATGGCTTTTGGGCAAATCTCCGGCCACCGAACATTTGAGCAAAAACACCCTGAGGCATCCAACAACCTGAACCCTCAAACCGCACGAAAAGCACTACAAATCCAACAGATGAATCAAAAGGAACCAAGTCCCCAAACACTCTGTGTGGTCGTGTCCTTGCCTGACAATGAGTTCAGCGCGGCCCAATACCTGAATCCGAAAATGGAGCCGCCAACTGGACTTTTACAACCTCCGCCAGATAATGTAAATATTCGACTCCGGCCAATATCGGACTCCTCGCATGTAATGTAGCGGCCTCAAAAAGTGCGCCGGGGGTAGATTCTAGTATAAAGGCACATAAGCATGGACTACAACAAGTCATCAGTACTAAGCATTTCAGGTCAGGGCCTTTTGTCAGGTTGCAGCAGAAAGACACTACGTCAGAGGTGCTCTTGACAGTCGAAGCCCCAAATGGACATCGCACATTCGCAGAGGAGCTTCCCCAAAAGAGAAAAGAGCTGCAAATCCCAAAGGCTAGAACAGATCATGGGATTCGGATCATGCAGACCCAACAATAAGGAAGCATAACTTGCAGAACATCCCCCTGTCAGGTGACTCCGCGAGAGTATTATACATATTCAGGGTCCAGCATACTAATTGCGTACAAGGAAACGGCATGCCAGCACACTTTACCTACCTTTGGTTAGTAGGGAATGGAAGAACGGTAGTAATAGTAGTTATAGTTGTACCCCATTCCTCCATTCCCGCTAACCAAAGGTAAGTTTACTGCTGGAATTTTCAACACCCACCAAACCCTTCGACTCGAAGCTTCCAAAGGGAAGCCAGCACCTTTGAATCCCCAAAAGTGCAAACCACATCCCATACCCTAAACCCTCTAAGCCTCAAGTCATCAAACCCTCAAGCCCGAACCCCAATCGCTGCACAAACCTCGAAACCCTAAACACCCTAAACCCTAAACCCTAAATCCTAAACCTCGAAACCCTAAACCATCCTTTCGGGTTCGAGGTGCCAGAGTGGCGCGTGGACGAAACCCCTCAACTTGGACAGTCGCTTGAGCTGGACGAAGGCGGGGTCCTTTTCTTCTGCGCGGGAGGGGAGTTGGGTTTTGGGCTTCTTCTTGGCTTCTGGAAGGATCTTGGGACTTGATAGGGCTTTTGTGTTTAGGGCTTCGGGGTTTGAGGGCTTAGGGCTTAGGGTTTGGGGTCAAAGGTTTTAGTCATCTTAGTCGGGGTTTAGGGTTTGTTATGATCGCTTGGGAGTCGAAGTTGGGAGCTCAGGAACCATGAACATGCTCGTATAGGCCGCTTGTGAGGAGGAGTAAGACTCTCGAGGTTCAGGAAACACATGTGTCGCAGCGGCGACACAACGGTTCAACCTTCCGACTGCGGTAGTTTACATGCCACCTCGAACACAAGTCTACCTACGGGTACCCACAGTTTCGGGGTCCTAGTTTCGGATCGGTGGGGGGGCAGTTTCGGATCAGGGCGGGTGAGTTTCGGGGTTGAGTTTCGGGACGGCCAGGGGTCAGTTTCGGATCGGGCCGTGTTCCGTTTCGGATCGGGACGTGGTCGGTTTCGGATCGGGCAGAGGTCAGTTTCGGGTCGCGGAGGGGGTGGGGTTGGGGTGTTGCTACGACGACGACGACGACTACTACTACTACTGCGGCTTTGTTGTCTATGCATCATCCGCGAGCCTAACGACCTCAAACCCGAATCCATAGATCTACACGCTGTAACCGTGTTTCGAACCACCTGCAGGGACGTGACAGGCGGTTGCACTTTTTCAGCCCCGTTCGGCCAACAGCGGGACATGCGCACCGTCTTTCGTCGCCAAATGAGGAGCGTGCTTATATCAATATGGTAAACATGCAGGAATCGTCCGATGGGGGGCGTGTTTAAGAACCCCACTGGTCTGGCATCTTGAAGGTATGTGATATCCGGAATCGTCAAATGAGGGGCGTGTTTAAGGTATATCACAGCCGGAACCGCCAAACGAGGGACATGTGTAAATAAATATATATATATATATGTACATTTGTATATGTGTGTATCTATATATACATGTATGATAAACCGGAATCGCCGAGTCGGTCTGGAGTGTTTAAAGTATATGCCAAATGAGGGGCGCGTTTAGAGGTACATGAAGAATCGGAATCCACCAATCGATCGGGAGGGGGGGCGTACTTAAGGCATATGATACCAGGAATCGCCACATGATGGGTGTGTTTAAATGTTTATGCAAAACCAGAATCGCCCAATCGGGGGGTGTTTTCAGATATATAATAGCCGGAACCGCCAAATGAAGGACGCTTTTAAGTATATATGACAAAACTGGAATCGTCCAATGGGGGGGCGTGTTTAAGAATTCTTTAAGGTATGTGATGAACCCAACTGGTCTGGCGTGTTGAAGGTATATGAGAACCGGAATCGCCAAACGAAGGGGGGCTGTTTGAGATATATGATGAACCGGAATCGCCTAAACTGGGGAGCGTGTTTGAACAATATATATATATATATATATATATATATATATATGATGATGATGATGAACCCACTGGTCTGGCGTGTCTTGTGAAAGCAAAAAATCCGACAGGAGTCATGAAAACTCACGGCCAGATGAAAAAATGGAATCGAATTGTCGAGTCATGTCACAGTCATTGTTTCGACACCGGGTCTCAAGACTTCGGCGAGGTGCAAGCAATTCTGAAGCATCAGACCTGGAACAGTTTCCGAAATTAAAAGGTTGATGTTCCACATCTGCAAACTTGGCAACTCCACATATTCTCAACTGCACATTCCACCTCAAATTTTCGAATACACACGTAGCAATGAAAAGTAAACCGCTTACGTGCAATGATGATCTAAAGTCTACAACTCGTGCTTAACAACTTTCACACTTGCAGAGCAGAGCCTGGTCTATGGCGAGAGCACCACAGCGCGAACGGGACGTGATTACGGTCGGGCCAAAAGCTCCCTGAAGGGAGAAAACCATGGACGTCATCATGTTTTGGGCCAAGGGTGTTCTCTTGTCAGAACGGATTGGACCATGGACGTCATCAAGGTTGGGCCATGGATCTTCCTTTTCAGAATGGGTCAGACCATGGACGTCATCATGCTTGGGGGTGGGAGGAGGGAAACAACCTAACCTAACACTAACCTAAACCCTGCCCAGCTTCCCCTGATGAGGGGACCTAAGCCCAATAAGAACGACTAAGGCTGGGCCCCTAAACCCGACCTAGCCCGCTTTCCCCTAAAATTTGGGGAGCAAGGCCCTAAACCCTATGCCAGGTTTCCCCTGCAAAATTGGGGACCTTGGCGAAACCCTATGCCCGGTTTCCCCCTTCGGGGGGCCTAGGCAGGTATGTCCTAAACCCTAAACCAAACCCTGAAACGAAACCACCCCCACACGCAAACCGCAACCCTAAAAACCGGAGGGTGGAGGGGTGGGGGGAAGTTTGAGCCAGTCTATACACGAAGTTTGAGCCAGTCTGTACACGTCTGTGAAACACACGTCTGTACAGAAACATGCCAGACAAGGCGGGAAAGCATTTTAGCCGGGGTGACATGAAAGCCTGGCTATCACAGAACACACCGGCGAAGCAGGTTGGTAATGATCCCTGCCTGCAGAGTCTAATGAGTGTATGATATCCCTGCGCATACTGCGGTTGTGCAGGATGGGCCTCGAGACCAAATCTTTCTGCGAAAGGCGTCGGGACCAAATCCTTCCGGAAGCGCCTCGGAACAGACCTTTAAGGAAGGGCGTCGCGACAAAATGTGGCCCAGGATACTGTTGGCCCTTGGTACTGGGCGCCGAGGCACCCCGATTACCTTTTGTCGGCATTACATGTGCCAGAACACACACTGCTGCCAGAGATGCAAAGGCATGGACCGGTGAGCAGCAAGGTGGACGATGCCCGCTCTCAGCATTTCCAGTCCAGTATATTCGCCAGGCGCCCAGCATGTGACTTGACAAGTGCACTTGCAACCTCGACCCCAAAAGCCCCCAAGAGTTGGAACCGTGTTGCAACTTTCCGGCGTTGACATGAAGCACAGAGGCCATCAAGGTTCTGTGAAGGGGGGGGTATATAAGGTATGTGATACCAGGAATCGCCAAATGAGGGGTGTGTTTACATGTTTATGCAAAACCAGAATCGCCCAATCGGGGTGCGTTTTTTTCTGATAGCCGGAACTGACAAATGAGGGACGTTTATATATATATATATGATGATGATGAACCGGAATCGTCCGATGGGGGGCGTGTTTAAGAATTTTTTAAGGTATGTGATGAACCCCACTGGTCTGGCGTGTTGAAGGTATACGATAGCCGGAATCGCCAAGTGAGGGGCAAAATTGAATATATGTGATAAACAGGAATCGTGTTTAATGTATATGGTAGCCGGAATCGCCAAATGGACGTGTTTAAGCATATGTGACACACCGGAAATATGATGAACCCAACTGGTCTGGCGTGTTGAAGGTATATGATAACCGGAATCGCCGAATGAGGGGGGGCTGTTTGAGATATATGATGAGCCGGAATCGCCTAATCGGGGAGCGTGTTTAAGAGAGAGATATATATATATAAGATGAACCCACTGGTTTGTCGTGTCGAAGGTATACGACAGCTGGAATCGCCAGATGAGGGGTGTCTTTAAATACATATGATAATAGACCGGAATCGCAGAATGGGGGGGGCGGGGTGTTTAAGGCATATGATAGCTGGAATCGCCAAATGAAGGGCGTGTTTAAATAGAATTATATATATATATATACATATATATATATATGTATATGTTAAACCGGAATCGCCCAATGGGGGGGTGTTTGAGATATATGATGAACCCCAGTGGCCTGGCGTGTTTAGGGTATATGACAGCAAGAATCGCCAAATGAGGGGCGCATCTAAAGATCAAGAATCGGAATTCGCCCAGTCGGGGGGCGTGTTTAAGGTATATGATAGCAGGAGTCGCCAAATGAGGAGCGTGTTTATATATATATATATATATGGTAAACATGCAGGAATCGTCCGATGGAGGGCGTGTTTAAGAACCCCGCAGGTCTGGCATGTTGAAGGTATGTGATAGCCGGAATCGCCAAATGAGGGGCGTGTTTAGATATATCTGATGAACCGGAATCGCTCCATTGGGGGGCGTGTTTAAGTTATATGACAACCGGAATCGCCAAAGGAGGGGTGTGTCTAAATATACGTATATACATTTACATGATAAACCGGAATCGCCCAATGGGGCGCGGATTAAGGTATATGATAGCGGGAATCGCCAAATGAGGGGCGTGTCAAAATATATATGATGCACCGGAATCGCAGAATGGGGGGGTGTTTAAGGTATATGATAGCCGGAATCGCCAAATGAGGGGCGTGTTTAAATAAATATATATGTATATGATATGCTCAAACCCTAACTCTATGGCCAACCTTGCAATTTCCAAGTATCACCACTGCGTCTGAAATGTGTGTCTGAAATGCAACTTTGCCGAACTTCATGCCTGAAATCGGACCTACCCTACCGCGTCTGAAACGTACAACGCCCGAGGAACGGAGAGACACAGAGATAGAGGTCGAGATCGGGACAGGCATGGTGGCAGAGAGCTGGACATAGACAGTAAATAGACGTTCTGAAAACGCAAGGACGAAGCACACAAATGGATGATATTGTATTCATACGTTATAATATGCTACATGACGCATACATACGTACCTACCTACCTACGTACATACATACCTGTACCTATGTAAATATCTACACAAGTACATGTATACGGGCAAACATACGTACATTCAAGCACGCAAACATACGGGCACACCAACAAGCAAGCACGCAAGAACGCAAGCAAGTTGGCAGCTAAGCAAACGAACAAACAAGAAACATAGATGATCATAGATGCATACATAGCCTACATACCTACGTGCATGCCCACATACATACGTACCTACATACATGCATGCATGCATGCATGCATACCTACGTGCGTACAATGGTCATTCTTGCATGCATGCCCGCATTACATACAAATCATACTGATTTCTCGGAACATAGATACGTAAGTGAAAGTGTA